GGCATGGTGGCGCATGCCTGTAGTCCCAGCTACTCAGGAGGCTGAGGCAGGAGGATCGCTTGAGCCCAGGAGTTTGAGGTTGCTGTGAGCTAGGCTGATGTCACGGCACTCTAGCCCGGGCAACACAGTGACACTCCGTCTCAAAAAAAGAAATAAAGAAGAATAGCGATAGTTATTGATAACAACTGAATGATGAAAGAATCTAGGGGTCCGCAGTGATTCTAAAAAAGAAGAGGACTGAGCTTCTCCTTACAGAGGAAGGACTACTAACTTGTAGGAGGAATGATAACGTTTGAAAACACAATTTTACAACCGCCACTGAAATATTAATAACTAATTTGAGGGAAGATTATCCACAAATGTCTAAACTTTCATTGGACGAACGTTTGCTGTGGAACAGGATATTCGAACAGTCTCAGCGTACCGGCCCCCGGCTTACTTACTGGTTACAAAGGAAAGAAGGTGCAGACACCTGGTGGACATCACCAGATTATCAAGTGATCAATCAAGTGATCAAACTTAGCATCACCAGTGATGGGACAAGCTGACATGACGTGCAGTGGGAATAACATGTGATCACCCGTGTAATATCCTTGCAAAAAAAATTTAGCCTCGAACTAATGATGCAGAACCCCAGACAAATTTAAATTGTGGAGCAAGTTATCCAGCAATGGATGTGGGCTCTTCAAAAATGTCATTGTCAAGAAGCCAAACGAAACAAAACAAAAGGGGGTAGAATTGTTCTAGATTAGAGGAACTAAATTAAAGAGGAAGGTAAGGTAGATGCAGTGTTTGATCCTTGATTGGATCTGAATGAAAAAGAAAAAATAATCCATAAAAATCACCTTTGGGACAATTAGAGAACTCTAAATACGGACTTTATTACGTAACGTTTTTGTATCTATGTTAAATTTCCTAAGCGTGATAATGATACTGTGGTTCCTAGGTAAATGTTCTTGTTCTCAAGAGATGAAGCTCGAAGTGTTTAGGCTCGAAATGCTATCATGACTGGAAGTTACTTTAAAATGGTTCAGGGGGAGAAGATGAGAACACGTAAAATGTTAACAATTTTAGATGAAGAGTACACGGATATTTACTGTTCCTGTTCTTTCAATCCTTCTACGGATTTTTAAATTTTCGAATGCAAAAGTGGGAAAAGCTCACTAACAGGAGCACAGTGACGAGAACGCGCTGACAGCCGTGACGCAGCGTGTGAGCCGTCGTCCGCCTCTCCATGCTCTGCAGAGAAGGGTCGGAGCCCAGACGCTGGGGCTGGACCGCGGGGTCCCAGCTGTGCCGTTTGGGACACCTACGCAGCTCACCCAGCCTCTCTCCGTCACTGTGATTTGTTACTTAAAAAACAGGAAAACCACACGGTCCATACAGAACTACCCGTAGGTTTCCTGGGAACATTAAATGAGAAACCCAAGTGCAGGACTTAGGGCAGGACCCAGGTCACGGTCGGAGCTCGATAAAATACCAGTCGTGCCGAGGATTATGAGGACGGCGAGGAGGACGCGCCCCGGCTCCCACACGCTGCACCGAGGACTGGGGGACACAAAACGGGTAAGAGGACAAGGCCTCAGCCTCAGGGGGGCGAGTCCAGCCACGGGAGACAACAGGACGAGAAGCAGAAGCAGGCAAAGGTGTCTGGATGACAGAAACACGTCAAGGACGCAGAAGAAGCTGCGATGAACCGTGTAAGCTTAGGAGCGTCGGAAAAGGTCTTGGAAAGGACACAGCGCTAAACAGATTCTTTCAAAGAGGAAATTTATAAGACATCTGATTTCATAATATAAGACTTCATCAGCACATAATGAAACACACGGCAGTATTTCTTGTAGTTGAAAGTTACCGTATTTGTTTTAAAGACAGGATGCTCTCATTTTGAGCAGGTTTACTGATGATTATCGCAGAAGGGCAGAAAGTTTTAATGTAACCATCATCGCCTCTTTCAGCAACCGGAACCCCTACGTTTAAAAGGGTCATTGACATGTAATGAGTAGAGCTAGACATTAACTATCTAGAAGATGAAATCGACTTTGTGACCGGGCATAGACTAATACAATGTGAGGCATTTGTCAGTTTGGCCTACTGGCGTTTGTTTGTTTGTTTGTTTTAAAGGAAAACCATGACTGTCCCCAATTTATCTGATGAAGGGCTTTTTTTTTTTTTTGAGACAGAGTCTCACTGTGTTGCCCTGGCTAGAGTGCTGTGGCATCATCCTAGCTCACAGCAACCTCACACTCCTGGGCTCAAGACATCCTCCTGCCTCAGCCTCCTGAGTAGCTGGGACTACAGGCACGCACCACTACACCCAGCTAATTTTTTCTATTTTCTGTTGTTTGGCTAATTTCTTTCTATTTTTTTTAGTAGAGACGGGGTCTCGCTCTTTCTCAGGCTGGCCTCAAACTCCTGAGCTCAAGCCATCCTCCCGCCTCGGCCTCCCAGAGTGCTAGGATTACAGGCGTGAGCCACCGCGCCCGGCCTGTGACGAAGGACCTTAAACAGAAATTTGAACCACCTAAATGTCCACCGATAAGAGACTGGCTGAATAGGAGAGGGCATGATGGTCCTTCGGCCTTGAGCATCGCGGACCCCGATCCAGGCCTCACCTGGCGTCCGAGAGACCTTGCGAACCACGGTTCGGCCGTCCTGCCCTCGTCCTCCCTCACCAGCCCCCAGCACAGGTGCTCAGCTCGTCGCACTAGCTCAGACGCTCCGCCTGGCATTCGATACCACGTTTCGTATCACTCCTGCCTGTCCCGCCAGACTCATCTCCGTCACATCAACAAACACACTAGCTGCAGTTCCCAGGAAATAACGTACCCTCCGACGCCCCCGCCCTTTCCTCGGAACGCCATTCCTCCCCTCGTCTGCTTCGAACCTTGGTTCAACCATGGCCGTCTCCAAGGTATCGGCCCCTCGTGCCGAGTCTGTAGCCCCCTCAGTGCTTTTATAAATAAGCCTCCGTGCAGACTTCTGTCGTAAGTTTTACACACATATTTGTACATGCGTATCTTACACTCCATTTTTGAAGTTCCTTTTCTTATCTGCCTCCCCCACGAGACTCTGAGCTCTTTAAATACACAGTAACTGCTCTGAAACGTTGCACCGTCTCCCACAAAGACAGACGGGACAGGTGCACAGGGTGTTAAAGGCATACAGGAGAAGGAATGTCTCTGCAGGGAGGGGGTAGGAAAGACGCCAGGAAAGGCCTGCGAGAGGAAACGCGAGCTGGCTCTTAAAGGAGGAGCAGGAATTCACCACGCAGACAGGCAGAGGGCCTTTTACTCAGACTGAGCAACGTAAGACAGAGGCAGGAAGCCGCGGA